CCCCCCCTTGTAATGAATGTTTTGGCCGTTCTTGCTACAGGTTATGGGAAAAGCTTGATTTTTACATTGTTCTTGCTGGCGCGAGAAAATATATCGAGAATAAATACAGACCGCCGTAGAGTCTCAATATTAAATATTCGGCAACGGGTTTAACAGGACTACTACGCCTAGGCCTGTTAGCCGCTCACTTTCTGAACTTTTAAGAGCGGTTGTCTGTAATAGTCAGGTAAGACATGTAAAATGAGAAAATTCAAAATCCTTCAAACTTTGTCAGAATATAGGCCTATATGAAGTATTAATGTTGTGAAAGTTTTATTTCGATCGGATAAATATTGAAGGAGAGAGACGTCGAAATTGGTTTTCCCAGGCCACTTTCGATTTTTAGAGGTCATTTTACGGCACTACCAAAATCGCTCTATTTTGCACGTTAGTGGGAATATTTCACAAAATATGATTTCGTATTATAAATTAGAGATATTTATTGATTAGCAGACGAAATTTATAGACATTTCTGTAAAAAGTGAATATTTTACAGATTTTCTTAATGTTTTTTTATTTTCGAACCTCTTTATTATATGCCATATTAGGCAGCGAATATCTCCATTGTTACATCGATTCAGACAAAAAATGCATAACCAGGTCAAAGAAATATGTTTTCCCTTGCTATTGATCAAATAAAATTTTTGGGCAACTTAGAATTGAATTTTTAACGAATTGTTTCGTAACCCCTATTTGAGCGGAATAAGCGTATGTTAATATAATCAGCGTCGAGTCATGTAGTTCAATAAATAACCAAAGAGCTCGTCAAAAGCGTTTATTTCTTCGAGTAAACAAGCCTAGGCCTATAAAACTACCTTAGCTAAAGTTGTACGATTGGCTGAAAGCATTTAGGTCTAAATCACACTGTTTACAGTCGCTTATTGTTCAGCTAATGCCCGATACTCGATAGCCGGTGCCGCTGATTTGGCAGATTTGGTTTCAATTATATTTTATCAGGGATATGCCGCGATAAGTATAGCGAGTATATTTTCTCTCCACCTCCCATAAACTCGTGTTCTCACATAAATAGTGCACGCGCTTTTTGTAAAAAGCATAGGCCATTTGCAAGGACATACGAGACATACGATGCAAACGTCGCATTGTTTTGACGTTTTTTTAGTCGTATTTCCGGTTGGGATAGCTCACACGATTGTCTGAACAAAGATATAGACTAGCCATACCTTTCGCCGAAAATAACTTCGACCCCTTCAAACATATCGTCTTTGTAATAGTCTTGTTCGAATCCCCATCAAAAACACTATTTAGAGTGTTATTTACAAGCCTGTATCTTCAAATTTGCATCTTTTATCACGGTATTTCCATTTCTTGTCCGGCTGTGAGCTTGAGGCTCGAAGTAATTTGATAGTATACGATCGCATTTTTTTTCTTTTTATTTAAAAATTCGCCCTATTTATATAATTAAGATAGAATATACAGTATAACGTCTGTTGAATACTAGAGCTAGGAGCCTTTAAGAAACTTTAAGAAGCTTTTAGTGCAAGGCCCCTATTGCAGCAAATATTAAATAGACCAGGCTGTATTGGCGCTAGGTACCACTTCGCGGCGGAGAAATCAAGACTATGTTTTTTGGATAGCCGTATGCATTGTTGTAACGAAAATCGATGGTAAACGGGGCGCCTGTAATGATCTTGGGTGAAATACGACAATTACTGTAGGATATAGGGTCTAAAGTGTTTCTTAAAGTAATGCTATTTTAGTCAGATAATAAGTTTTATTAACTCCTTTTAAATCGTTTTACTTTACTGCAAAAAGGTGAACAGCATAAGCGTATGGCTATATTTTCTCTATAATACTGTATAATGTCTTATACTGTTTGAACAATGTATACTAAACTAATGCTGATGCAGGAATTATATTAGAATGTGGCACTATAAAATCAAAACCACAGGCGAATTACATGGTTATGAACTTAGTCTTTTCGTCACACTATAAATATAGCATATTATAAGCGATTTGTAGTATTATTATATATAATATACATACACCGTCTCTGGTAGGATGTTCATTAAATCAATCCTCATCATCACTCTCCTCGTCCAGCCCACAGTCAATATCATTATCAGCATCGAATAATGGTTCAAGAAGAATACTGTTCATATCCCTTGGAAAAGCTTCATCCATCCAGCATATCTCAAGTAAACTATTCCAACCATTGTGTGTGAAATCTGGTTCTTCTAGCATTGGGTCGTGTGACGAATTCCATATTTTCGCTATTACGTTTGCTCTTTTCGAATGTAAGAGTAATGTTGACCTGCAAGGTGGAAGATGCGATATGTCGATAACCTTTCTTTGGTTAACGTGTTTACGTTCGAAGATTTCGCTTCGCACGCCGTTTACTCTCTTCTTTCTGCTGCCGTATAGCAGACAAACGTATTGTTCAAGAGCATCAGCTAATTCTTCTTCCAATTCCCAAGATAAACCAAGTGACGTAAAGATACTAACGAACCTGGGATACTTTTCAACAATTTTCCAGCAAGCCATTTTCCCTTTTCGAAAAAATGACGATATATAGTCATTCCCGGTGAAGGCATGAAAACCCAACATGCACTTCTTGATCTCCTCAGGTAAATCGATATCGGCCAGCCAAAGTCCTTTGCGATGTTTGCTATTTCCATAGTCGAGATATACACGGTCTTGATGCTCAAGCAACTTGTTTAACAAGATTACAAGAATATCGGTATCACCTGAAGGTGATCTTACCAAGATCTTTTTTGAGGGATGACGAGTCAATGCGTGATAGCAGTGTAGTACGATCTTGGTATCAGCTTCTTCTTGATTGCTAATTAACTCAGCTTCTATTTCGCATGAAACAGGTGTAATTTTGCGGCAATCTTTATAGGTTGAGAAGTAGATCTCCTGGCAGCGTAGCAAGTCCAAAGCCTTTGCCTTGTTTGCAATGATGGTTTCCTGCATTAAATATATCAATCGTCGCTTGTTGTCGTCATTTCTTAAAAAATCGCTAAAATTTCGAGGCACTTTCGATTTGTTTGAAGGAATCATCACTTTGCTTGAAATCCCACGTGCGTTTCTTTCGGCTGACTTAAGTGAAACCTCTTGGTATGTATCTGCGACAATGTCAATCCGACTGTATCCAGACGGCAGCTGCTGCAAAAACTTCCACGTGAGATCTTCATACGTTTCTGGTACTTGCGTTATGCTCCTAACACTTGCCATCATGTCGACAATAAACGCAGACACGGTTTCTTTCCGGGGTTGACTTTCCCTTGGGTGTAATACAGGGCTTTTCACATTCTTGATTATAATTTCGGTTAACTTGCTTTTCGTCGTTACTCTTCTGGATCCGTCGGGGTTAGCCAAGCTTAGCGGAACAGGGCACAAAGGGTATTCAAGTGCTTTTTTAAGATCAATAGCTTGCCCACTCTTTGCTGAAAATGAAAGTAATGTTCCCAAGATATTCCGATTAACTTCAACAGATTTCACTTTCTTGTTTTCCTCAATTGTGACTTTCTTACTTGAATTGCTGAACATTTGCAACTTTCGTCTTTTTATCGGATCGTGAAATTTGACCTCACTAGACTCAAGGCGCTCTAAACGAAACTTCTGACTTTCTTCTTTACCAACACTTCTCGTTGAAAGTATTTCGGAAGCTATTTGGTCTGGCAGAGCAACGGCAGAACTCAAATTAACAAGCTTTTCTTTCGGAATATTGACATCGAAAGGGTTAACATACTCTTCGTTCAATACCTCTATAATGCGCGACACGAATTTTTCTGATTGCAAAATCTGTGATGGCCGGAGAGGTTTGTAAGCATTACTGGCATTGTTCACCTCTGCGAAGTCTAGGAGTGCTTTAGTATTTTCCGCTTGTTCGGCCCGATTTAATGTCCACTTCAAAATAGCTGAACTATCTGCGGCAAATGACTTGATTCCTCCCGATGTCTTGGCATCTCTGTTGATCGTTTGCTCACCTCTCTGGTCAATAGCAACTCTAACAGGGAATGATTCTTGGGCTTGTACGGACATACCATTTTGCTCAAGCAGTTCTTTTAAGCCAGGGTACATTTTCTCGATATTCTCCATCACTTTAACGTAGTAGGAACCATACCGAGCGTAGTTGGTTTTCTGAAGCGCAAAATACAGTGGCAAATAGAACTTCCAGCAGCGAAGTCGCATCTCAAAATCGTTGTCTTGGACCGCCAGATGAATAAAATGTTGCGTTTGCATAAGATCCAAGTATAGTAGCAACCAGAATCGCGGTGTTTCGCCAAGTTCTCCATTGCGTATACTTTCCTTAAACTCTTGATACCGTGATAAGAACGTGGCATTGCTGCTAACTATATCCTCATAAAATGACTGTGGAACCTCTGCAGCGGTAATGAAATCTTCTGGAATGAAAATGTTGTACTCAAAGATGAACCTTTCGATTAACAACCTTTCTAAAGCTTCTGAAAAAGCACTGTGGACTGTCCATGCACGGTTGTAGTGAGAGCCCATCAAGACACCGTTGAGACTACCTGTCGAGCATACTCCAGCTTGAAAAATTACATCTTCGAACCCAGAACCCTTGACGATCTTTCCAATAACACCAAAGTTTTCCTTCATGAAGTGGAAGTCGCCTAAGTGAATAATAACGTTTTGGAATTTCGAAGGATAATTCCACAGCACCCTTTCGGCATTCATGGCAGCACCAACGTCCAATGTCACGTTTACATATGGCATATTCACTTCGCTGGCAAGGAGCTGCAGATATGTTAGGTATTGGTAAATCGTTGAGAATTCAGTGACTTTTGCATTAATGGGGGGTAAATATTTAAGAACGGTCTTCTTTAGGGGGGTTGTCGAATTGACCTTTTTTACACATGTTCTCCATCCCGAGTATGTTGAGAGAGTTTGATCTGCCATGTTCAGCTTTCTCAAAATGATCCATAGCAAATAGTTGGTTGCGTATATAGATTCTTGCAAACTTTCTCCTGGTGTCGATTCATCAGTGAAACAAGTGATAGGTGGCTCTTTATTAGCATTAACAACAACTTCAACATGCTCAGTTTCAGAAACTTCCAGTGATCGACGTTTGGTCCTTGGAAACTGAATTTCATTGCTTTGCTTTATTGTCAACGGCGATTCCTCCTGAAAGGCAACCATGTGTGTTGAATTAATTGCGCCATGCCCAGTTTTTGTCTCTAAATTCATGTCGAAATTGTCTACCCAGAAGTATGTTAATACACTATGGCCCGAAGATATTGGTTGAATCGGAAGGGCCCCGCTACCTTTGGCAATGCAGTCTGCTTTCTCTGCCTGCGCAGTCTCAATTTCACACACCAGATTGTAGTCTATACAATGTCCAAGGTGATTCACTATTTGTATCGGTACCTTTTGCCCTGTTAGATTATGAAGTCCGAGCCCAAGAAGAAAATGCTTTGCGGTTATTGTTTTCCCGCGTGTTACGCCGTGAATTAAATCCGAAGAATATGATTGAATCAATCTATTGGCCGTATCACGATTAGGATGATCCTTATTCATCAACAGTTGCCGCAAAAATGACTCCAACGATTCTGGTGGCTTTCTTTCATCACTCGAGAGGTCATCGATACTTGGTGGCCAACTCAAACTTGGAATAGTTTGAGCATGATCAAGGATATCTTCGCGAAGACACTCTGCGGCTTGCATTAATAAATGCTCGCGATCATTAATTATCGTATGAGAGTTTATTGCGTCTGTATTTATAACAACTTCAGCGGTGTTTGCATCAACAGTTAGGAACGATATCTTGTCTGGATAGGCTTCCTGTATCCTTGCTTTCAATTTACTGCGATATCTTGTATCTTCAGAATGGACGCCGTATAGATCATGCAAGATGCGCATTGATATTGCCTGGTTTTGGGAAAGAATTTTCTCTTCTATACATTTCTTCACTTGATCGAAATCGCCCAAAGATCGCGATCGTTCGTTCCCGGCTTGCTTAAAAGAAGATTTCTCTTTTCGCGTATACTCCTTATAGCAATTTTCGTGGTATTTAAATTCCCTTGCAATCAAATCGGCATCTTTAATTTCAAAGTAAAGACTTTGATCTTCTTTAGATTCTGCAGCATCCTTTATAGTTTGTACAGCCTTATCCGTGCATACAGTTTTTGGGAAGTGAATTTTATTCTTTTTCATTATCCTATACTTTTTACAAAAATTGCATTCCTTGGGGTAGACATTGCTAGCATGTGATGTTTTCGCTCGTTTTGGGCGAGGCTCCGTTAAAAGGCTTTCATTATTAGAGTTCTCAGAGGAGCGATCTTTTTCTTTCGAGAGGATCAAAGTAAACTTTTTATAGCAAGGAACGAGATGTATGCCGTGTTGAACTGGGTTAATTTCTTCTGGAATTAATTGGCACTGTTCTGCATGATGATTCTTACCTCCTAACGACTCGCGAATACATTTTGCCGAATAAATTTTTTCCTTGTTAACAGAAGAAAGCTCTTTTATGCTACTATATTTGGTATCTTTAATGTCGTAGTGAACAATGCATTTACGCTGATCCATGTCTATATACAAATTGAAAGTAAAATAATACTTCAAGTAAATTGATTCAAAATTGAAATTTTTGCTTTCCTAAACGAGATGATACAATGTGTAATTTGTGTTAATCTATTTGCAGGTGATTTTTGGCCAAATATGCATCATAAAGGTTAACATTATAGAACATGAATCACAAACAAAAACTCAAGTTTCGGTACAATTTCGGTAAACAAAAACTCAAAATTTCAAGGGAAGCCATTTAAGTGCATGTCAATTATGACTAGTGTTATATAAAAGGCATTGACCAAGTTGAATAAAGAATTGTTAGCTTATAATAGCTAAGATATAGAGATTAAAATAACTTTACAGTCTTAATGATGCATGGCCTTGGCAATTTGTTAAATCAAACTAAAAATAATAAAGTATTAAAGTTAAAGTCTATAAATTTCTGTGCCGGTTTGAAATAATATAATATTTTATCATAAATGTATTTTGTATAATAATTTTAACTAGAGAAAACAATATACTATATAAATATATAAATTTACTTTTAAATTGGACTGTAAGTCCCTCCACACTTACTCACCTTGCTATAGCCATAAGAAAATATAAAAAAAATGCATTGTTTAATATTTAAAAGTGACCGCAAATGCACAAACAAAAAGGTTTAGCTTATACTGCACAGTGAGCTTCATATATTCTTAGAGCCCGCGATCCTTTTGTTCTTGAAGTACATATAGTGCCAATCTTCTGCGCGGTCTGGTCAAGTTCTGATCCTGTCAAAAACGGCGTAGGATACACGTACTTTAGAGCCCACATGTCCGCCGTGTTATCTTCAGTCTTTGCACGATAATGAGCACGAGATATCACTCCAATTACATATAGAGCTCATTAATACTGTATTGTGATAAATTACTATTAATAATACGGCCCAAAATATTCGGGGATGCAATAAAAAAATACTTTATCTCGTTATATAGAATATAAGAGATACTTTACGAAGTATAAAGATGTGTTTAACGTAAATTTTGAAAGATGGGGCAACAACATTGTAGGGAAGTTGCCACGAAGTTTCGCTCCGGCGGTTCATGCAAGCATGCAAGCTGGCATGTACAAGTAATTGTCGTATTTCACCCAAGATCATTACGGGCGCCCCGTTTACCATCGATTTTCGTTACAACAATGCATACGGCTATCCAAAAAACATAGTCTTGATTTCTCCGCCGCGAAGTGGTACCTAGCGCCAGTACAGCCTGGTCTAAATTATATGTTGCGATTCCGAGATACAGTAATGGCTTATAAATGTGTTAATGGTATGGCCCCATCATATTTATGTTGTATGTTCCAAACAAGATCACAATTACACAATTTGAACACAAGATCTAGCGAATTATTGGAAATACCTTTATATAGAACAGCGACCGGACAACATTCTTTTCGCTACCGAGCTTCTTGTTTATGGAACAGTTTGCCAGAATGGCTAAAAGACCATAATCTTAATTTGGAACGTTTTAAAAGCGGGCTACGAAGTTATTTGGTTCAACAATTTCTCGATGAACAGAACTGAATTACATCTTTTACTGACTAAATTTTAAATTAAATAGTATTAATAAGTATTTTACCTTAAATATAACTAGCTTGATATTATATATTTTGGTGTTAATAGTATATTATATAGTTTTTAGAATATAATTTAATTAAGTAATTACTTTTTATAACTTCTGTATTGAACACTGAAAAACCCTAATGGGAGTGTTTAACATTAATAATAATAATAATAACAACAATCATATCTGTGAGCACAAGGACGAAATGGGAAAACTTGGTGAAAGCTCGCAACACCTGGTGGTTTCTAGACTTTCCAAAGTCCTTTCCAGACCCCTCTATGGCGCGCTTCACTTCCTCTGTGGAAAGGACTTTTGTCACTTGCAGCGCGCCAAATATCACCGGTGGAAAAATCCACTGGTGACGTCATTGTTTACATTGAAGGCCGAAGCGGTTTAAATTTATTGATCATTATCGAAGGAGTGTAAAAATAACATATTCTAAGGCTTTTTTGTTGAACAAACATTTATTATTGAAGTAAACAGAGTAAACAATGTAAATACGATTTTGTAGAACACAAAAACCATGTGAAAATACACAAACGGCAAACATTACATTGACTATGAGTACATGCGCCTACAGGGTGTAGAAATAAACTTTAATACTGTCACCGAAAATGCGTGCATCTGATGATTCTAAAATTTCCTCACTAGTTTCGGGTTTAGATTGGGTTTCTTGATCTTGATTACTGATTGAAACATCGTGTTTCAATCCTTGGCTGACATATGTGCTAAATTCATGTTCGAGTTTTTCCACAGGGGGCCCCACTATGAGTTATGATTGAAATAATATTGTATTTATTTTTAAAAACATGTACTTGAATCCCTTGATAATCGATTATTTCTTCTCTCGAAATTTTGTAAACATTTTAAACTCTTTGAATCATTATACTAACACTCTACATGAAGTATAGATGATCGCTGACAAGTAAGGACCGCAGGCGTGAAAAGACGACGAAAGAAGGGAGAATTAAACTGAAGGGTTGAAACTTCGACTAGATGACATTTCTAAATGCCTTAAAATTCACAATTTCTTTGTGTTTTCGAATTTTTTTTTGCAGATTCTATGTCTTCACAACTGATGTAGTAGATTCAATAAACGATTGATTTTTCGTATGTTTTTACATGAAACACTCTAAGGGTTTTTTCGCACAATGTGTTCCATAAGTAGAGGTTGTTCTTGTGACGTCAAGTATAAAGAGTCCAAGCCGTTTAAAAGGTTTACAGAATGTCGAGAGAAGAAATAATGGATGATCAAGGGATTCAAGTACGTTTTTAAAAATAAATACAATATTATTTCAATCCTAACTCACATTGGGGCCCCGTGCGAAATTGCCGGAGAACAACCCTACTTATGGAACACATCAAACGATGACCCGCCGAAGTTTCAACCCTTTAGTTTAATTCTCCCTTCTTTCGCCGCCTTCATCTTTTCGCGCCCGCAGTCCTTACTTGTTAGCGATCATCTATACTTCATGTAGAGTGATAGTATAATGATTCAAGCAGTTTAAAATGTTTACAGAATTTCGAGAGAAGAAATAATCGATTATCAAGGGATTCAAGTACAGGTTTTTAAAAATAAATACAATATTATTTCAATTAATATTTTCTGTTGTCCATGTAATATAACGTTTTTATCTAGATAATATCTTAGTATATATTATATTCTTAAACATTGTAAATGCATGTTGAAAAGCCCAGTTTGGGAACATGTATTAGTGACATATAATATAATAATTTCAAATACTTTCAGTGTTGTGGCTAATTCAACAACAATGACTAGTCTATTTGTTATGCATGATGAACATTGAATATTTAAATAGGTATATAAAGCCAACACCTAGACTCAAGGTATTAAGGAAAGTATTCAGACAAGTATTAAGCAAAGTAACTAAGTAAATGAAACCAAAGCAAGCCACATTCCCACACATTGGTAAGTTTATTTATTGCTGTAATGTATGTGTGTAAATATTGTTTATTTGTAAGGACTGTTTATATGTAATGCATGTTTCCTGTAGGAATTTTACAAGTGTGTTAAAGCCTGTGTGCCAGGATGGTGAAAAGTGTAAAGGCAAATAATTAAAGGTCAAGATTGATGTTTGGAATAGCATAGCATCTAAATACAAATCTATTTTCTCTTATAGTACTTTTAAAATTAAAATAAAAAATCATTATATATTCAACAATGGATGTATAATGGTTTAAAATATATTATCACTTTCTTTACTGTAAATATACATATATAGTATCCTCCACTTCGAATATATATAATTAAGTTTATATGCATGTTAATATTTTATTTTATACTTGTTATATACGCTTTTATCTTTGTTCAATCTAATACATTATTCAAACTGACTAAATAGAATGAAACAATGTAAGTATAGTCTATAGGGGTCTTAATTAAAAAGCCTAGTAGGTTTCTAGAAGGCCCCTAGCCTATACAAAACAATAGAAAAATAAATGTAAATAACTTGATATTTTTTACGGGCATAAACAAGAGAAAAAAAAAAAGGATTGTTAAGCGTTCAAACCCTGTTTTGTACATTCAGAATACTGTACATATTTACTCGATTAAGCACCACATTTATAAGAGAAAAAAGTCGCACCGCAGCATTTAAAAATTTAAATGCTGCGGTGCTTAAAGACATTTTCAAAAGGTACACTTTTTCAGATTATTTCGTTCCAAAGATAAGTGCATGTACTATTAACTTCGGAATAAAGATTTGAAGTGCAAATAATGCTAGAGTAGGCAGTAGTTCATTGGTCTGACGTTTCCACAAGCTTAATAGCCTTAATAAAAATTTCAAACTTATCTATCAAAGTTCTAGCAAATGAAACACAGCTGTGAACTTTGGAACAGTATATGTATGAGTCATTAAATTGATCCCCCTTTCTGATCCTACATTTTGTACACTTTTAAAAATGTTGACAATTAATGATGATTAAACATTGATATTGTAAGTATTACAGAATACCATATACAAGGATTTGTTACTGTTACACTTATTAAAAAATGACAAAAACACAAAGAAAAGTCATAAGCGTGTCGTATCTGTATATGTGATACAGATTCATGTTGATTAACATAAACTTTAACTTTGATTTTCTTGAAAAAACATCACATCCGGCCTCGCTCTGGGTCCATTGTTATTTGCAAATTTGCTAGGGGCAATATGTTGATTCCACATTTCAGCAACTTTGTGTAATTCATCTCTGAGTATGTCCATAAAGCAAAATCGTATCAAATCGACTTGAACAGGATCACAATCATTATACAAGTCAAAGTCACATAGATCTTTGAAGAAATTTATCCACCACCCGGGCCCATCCCTAATAAGGTGAGACCAATAGGCTTCTATTTGTTGATTCGATGTAGACATGCCAATAGAAAAACTGGCAAAACCAGAATGCTCATCATTATGTTATGATCGCAGAAATATTTGCAAAGCTTCAACAATTCTATTCTCAGTACCTTTGTCTGATTGCATCTTTTGTGGTATATCTCCGATTTGTAGTTTGGTGGCATCGAGGTAATATTTTCCAATTACTTCAGGATTTTTTACTTGTTGGACCCACTTCAAGACAAATCAGCCTTCTTGAAAATCCATCGATGCATCATCCATGTATACTAAATCCAAAAGATTTCAACTTGTCATGGGCATCAATGTGCCATATATGGTTAGGACCCCTGGGATAAACAAGCTCTTCTTCTCTTGCTTCTACTTTCAACACCTCGAGGATCTAATTTTACCAAGCATTTTCGAATAACATCCCTTTGAATGACAATGCCATACTTGGTCATTACGTGTTTCCACATTTTCCGATATCCAAAGTTGCATTTACTCCCAGATAATTTGTGTTCAACAATACGTTCAATATCATCTCATGAAACTTTTTCATCAGCTGGTATACGTCTTCGAAGACCAAGACTTTGCAGCCTTTTTTTAAGGGTTGATGAGCTAAATTTTATTCCATGTAGCTTCAGGAATTCCAGTATTTCAATGTTGGTGAATCCTTGTTGAAAATAACTTGTAATAAGCTCTGTTTCATCTCTTCTTTCATACATGGAGTATAATTATTCAAAGGCATAGTTTTATGTATTCTGTTTCTGACAATAACATGTTAATAGTTGACAAGAAACAACAAGATGTCGACATGGGCTTTTTAATCTTGATTGAGCAGAACAAAAAAAAAACTGAACTGTGTCAAAAACCGAAACTGAACTGTTAAAATATAAAACTGAACTTTCAAATACAAAATTGTCAATAAACCAGAACTGACTGTGAGTCTTCTGGGCCATCGTAGAACTCTTACGATTGGTCGGGTTTTTAAGACATTTGCAACATTTGCCATCCATGTTGTATAATAGCCTCTTCTGTACAGTGAATTAATTTTCTTATTCTTATCTTAAATTATTTAAATATTTGCAGATATTTAATTATTTAATTTCCATTCCAAGTTATGTTACTGCAGATAACAGAGAGTTTTAGATTGGCGTTTTTACTTGATAATGTCAAACCGCAAACGGCAAAAAATCACGTGACTACGATTTTGCCGTCAGATTCGACGTAAATTTATCACGTTTCAACGTGAGAAGTGCGACTTTCAGGTAAGCGAATTCCCTCAAAGTTTTTATGTGTTTTTTTTAAATATCTCGCGTAAATTGTGAACATATGTTTGTAAGTTTATCCAGTCTTCCTTATGAACTTAAATTTGCAATATGATGAGTTTTTTAGTTGTTATTGTTGTACGAAAATCATACTTTGCTTGCTTGAATAAACAAGATGGCAAGCACATGTCCTGCACTGAATGATATTTGTTTCATTAGCATACTATCACTACCACTCCTGCAAAATCATAATTTATTAATAACTTCTGGTACAATCTACTTTCAATGTGTAGATATTATTTATATCGCATCAATCTGTCTTTTTTAGATTATAATATACACTGAATAATGGTCCATTTCGCTGGCCAAGTATTGAAAATGACATTGCATTGGCAAGGGAAGTGGCAGCTTCTCGACCCGAAAAGCCAAACGATTGGGATGAAATTGCAACTCGTCTGAGTGAACACTTTAGTACTGATGGAAAACCTGTCGAGTTGAAAGCAAGAGGTTGCCGTGAGAGAATGGACAGACTTCTGTCCAAATACAAACAAGAAGATGCAAAATCACTTAAAAGGTATAAATAGAGTTTGTGTTTACCCAATTAAAGTGGTTTCTGATTGAGGGTACCTAAATATCGAGTTAGGATTGGGGTCAGGCCTTGAGCCAAGGACTCAGGGATTAGGGTTTAGGCTTTAGGGTAAGATTTGGGGATAGGGTTATGGCCACTGGGTTATGGGTTAGGATTAGGTTGGCGTTTGGAGCTATGTTTATGGATTAGCCTGTATGGAATGACACTTTTTGTGCACAGCACATTTGACAAATTGTGCACCAAAATACTAGTAAATATATTAGCAGGAGCAACGTTGCCGTGCACACCACCTTCATTCCATACTGGTGGATTAGGATCTAAACATAGTCAGTATATCGTTTTGGGTTAGGATCCAAACATTTAGTCAGAATATAAACATAGTACATTCTCACGACAAAGTCCAATGTTTGTAACAAGCATTTGAAGGCTTCAATGAGGTCAGCCAATTAGCTTGGAGCTAGTTAAATATGATTGCCCGATCAGATTATAACCGGTCAAATAGTATTGACAAACATTGAATACTTCCGTGCAAATAGTTAATGTTTTTTTCAAAATACACAATGTTTTGAGCTGCGTCATTCATATTTAGTTGCAAGCAATGGTAGTATATCTCTTTCTGGTTGCGCATAAGTGTTTGTGGAGCTATGTCATAGTACATAATATGCATACCATTTCTCAAACCATAATTTTTGCTCAATTTTCATTTTTATCAAGTGCTTGTATTGTATATATGCTACTTAGCAAATAAATTGCGGTCTGGTTCAGTGATAATATGTAATAGTTTCTCGGTGTGATTCATTTTATGTAAGACTTGAATTTCATTAATTTTAAAATTAAAAGTCTATTGCAATTTTAATAGATCTGGTGCTGAGGAGGACTATAATGAATTAAAGCAACTACTAGAAGACATATCAACATTCCGAAGGGATATGATGGTGCTAAAGGATAAAGAAAAAGAAGAGAAACGGAACCAAGCTGAGAATGGAAAAAGAAAGCAGAAATGATGAGAAGGGCTGCCATGGAAAGGAGGAGAGAAAGTATGTTTACCAATAGACTGATGTAATTATTTATCCATTCAAAATTTGGCATACATGTATTTACTGTTTATCTAAAATTTTTATTTGCTACATTTCATACTGTAGCTTTATCATTGTTTAAACAATTTTAGTTGTCTGTGGTACCTAGGTTGACTGGCTATTATTTGAATGATTTGAATCTCTGTTTTGCTAATTTTAGTTGTTGAATTTGTCTTCCAAAAGCAAGTAACTTAATTGTTTTCTTAAAAATATTCTATAGTATCTTCACCTTATAAACCCTTGTTAAAAATTTTAAATTTTGATATAATCCTTACTGTCTTTAGCATATGATGATAACCAAGACTCAATTCGTTCAAGTGAAGAAGAAAGTGAAGATGAAGAATTGATCAAAAAGATGGTGCACAAAGGTATGAAATTTCCATCAGAAAATAATGTTTTACTCTATTGTTTGAATGAAACATTTGTAGAACAGACAATGATGCCTGAACTTGAAAAGTTTGTTGCAAATGCAAAAAAAATGTTGATAGAACTTTATTTAATCTACAGATAGCAAAAGTAACAGACCACAGCTAAAAAAGTTAATTGCTATGGAAATGCTTGCTAATAAATACGAAAAAAAAAGCTGAATTGAAAGCTAGAAAAGGAGTTGGAAATTCGAAAAATGGAGTTAGAGCTTAATACCAAAAAAACACGAGAGTGAGGTGCAAGAGAGACAAAGGCGACTAGAAGTTGAATTAGAAGAAAGAAGAGCAATGTTGGGCTTAGTGCTTAGCAGGAACAACATGCAACATTGAAAAGTTTATTATAAAACAAATACTTTTATATTCTATTACATTGGGTTTCATGCACAACACTTATATTGTTAGTATTTTAAGTTAAGTTAAAATGGATAAGGATGTTGATTGCTACCGTTACTATATACTGCCTATCTTTTGTATTGGCAAAATAGCTTTCAGCCACTGTTAATTACGTGTAGTTGGTTAGTCAATGTAGTTACTTATGTATGTCTCTAACACTGGTGGTTCAAGATTAAAAAAAGAGCTTGTGAGAGAACCATATAAGCAAGTATGACAATTGGTCAAAAGTGCTCCGATCAAGTAGTATTTTCCAATAGGTTGCAAAAGGACTTTTAGGTTCTTTTTAAAATCTAAGTAGGCAAAGATCTGTGAGATTTTTCCAAAACCCCACTCGACACTAACTCTAACACGGCTCATATCTTGGTTAAATACTTTCTGAGCATCGGACAAATTGTTGCCTCGGTATGGTGCCAATATGTTATACGACAACCCATACGCTGGGTCACCATAAATTACATAAGGCTTGGGGCTTTGTCAGCTGTCTTAATTTTTCCTGTAGGCCACTTACTCCGAGCATAAATGCGTCGTGTCGGCTGCCCTCGATTGGTCCAAACATGTTTGCTATTAGCCCATTCGGTGCCTGGACGGACTGAAATGGAAAGAATATTAAATTTCAGTATACTTTTTAGTGAGGTCATACAATGCTACCAACTACTACCTTTTAAAAGTATATATTTACACGTGCCTTAGGAAATTTGATACATTTATTGACTTTAATTTGTCAGACAATACGTTTGACTTGGCATCTTACAGTATAACATACCTGGAATTTTAAACAATGAATCCTTTTGTGCCCACTATACATTATTTTCTGGTTACGTATTGGTCGTGCAATAGGCCTGGGAGTCCCATGAATAAACCCCCAACATTGATCTAGTGGGGCTCCTTTGGCATGTATGACTCTTGAAAAGAGATCTGGATCAAGCCAAACTAAGTCGATTGACGTCAACAGATAGTTAAATCGTTCATTAATGTCATCCAGTATCTAAAACGATAGATACAGTAGGAAGTCACAACTTATTAAAAATTGGAACATTTTATGGCTGAAAATTAAGACACAACTTCATACCGTGTTAAAAATTAGACTTACTTCATATTTGGTTCTTGCAAATATAGGTGTCAAATCACTCAATCTATTTGGATATGCCAATCTGCGTAACATTATCAGGACAGCTTCCAATCAACCTACAACGGTCCCCTGATAACAGGTATACCGATCCGGTATTTTCAGTGCATCTCGCAGACTAGGTATATTGTACTTTTCAAATCTACGGAAAAAAAATTTGAAAGTCCTTGACATTGTGATCCAACTTTTCAAAATATTAGTTATTACGCAAAGCAGAAAAATGTCACCTGAACATTTTCTCACAGTCATCTTCGGAAATGTCTTGTAGATTAATCCGAGTTCCTAGTTCTCGTGTTGTAGCAAAAACACATTTAAAAAAATAGCAAATCGATATCATCACTATCGCTGCTTGAACTATCATCAGAATCAGGAGTGTACATCATATAGTTCAAAATTTGGTCAACGTTGCATCTACAAATAGATTCGGTACTTGTTAATATTGAAATAAAATAGATTAAAAACTAATTATCGGGAAAAAAGACGATTTTCACAAGACTTCTACATACCTTCTAGCTCCCGCCATTTTGAATTTGTTCGTTTCGCACAAAAACTTTAAACGTCAAACTAAGTGCAATTTTTATTACAAACTTCAAACCGCAAACGTCTACCTGCGGTTTGCCGTTCGCGGTTTGAAAGTTGTATGTCAATCTAAAACTCTCTAACATCTGGTCATTGGAACCTTAATAGTAAAATGTGTCTATGGCCCATTGTGGTGGAACCCATTGACACAGAATACTACACAGAAGTCCATCTCCATTGTTTTTTTTGGGGTAGGCTCTATTCTTCATGATTCATCACTCAGCAAGTACCGTAAACAGAAGCATCTCCCCCTGGAAATACTCAAGATGGGGCTGTATGGGAGACAGCCACTATTAAAGCAACGTAAAGGCATTCATTTCGGTTGATCATATAACATTCTCCTAATGAAACTAAGAATGTATGGAACATTGGGAAACCGTTACAACTGGTTCAGTAGCTACCTACGTGGGCGTACACATGTGTTGTTGTGGAAGACGTAGCTTCGGAATGGTCCCCAGTAATCTCTGGCGTCCCATAAGGTAGCATTTCAGGTCACAAGGCAGCATTTTAGGTCCCATGCTTTTGCTTCTGTTCATTAATGATCTCCCAGACACAATCCGTCAAGCAATATCAACAGGACTGTACACTGATGATGCGAAGCTACACAAGGCTATAATGTCTAACGAGGATAGTGCAGCGTTGATTCAAACATTGCATTCAACACCTAAGTGCAAAATAATGACAATCTCCCACCGTAGAAGGCCGCTCATCACCCATTTACTATCTTGGTTCTGCAGATTTGAAACGTGTGGACAGTGAAGTTGATCTCGAGATCACTTTGACAAGTAACCTCTGTTGGAACACACATATATCTCAGATTTTTAGCAAGGCCAATATAATGCTGGGTCGACTACCCCAGACAATCCCAGCTGTGTTACGCTGCAGAAGTCTGGTCACCATCGCAGTATAACAACAAAACGCTGTTGGAGAGAGTTCAAAGGTGTGCCACAAGATGGGATCCTCCAAACGTGGGACCTGACATATAGGGATGGAATGCAGATGTTAGATCTTCTCCATATTTCATATCTTTGACATATTTCTTTAAGTTGCTGAATGAATTTTGCAATTTAAATATTTCCAATTTTGTGTTGTTTGTTAGTCATAATCGTGCTCGTAATTGTGAAAATCCTTCTCTCGTACTTAAAGTTCTGTCATGTAAACCAAGTGCTTTCCAGTCATCTTTCTTTTACATATTGTCCCTCTCTGGAATTGTGTTTGTAAAATAGCTTTTCCTGCAGACCTTCGCAGTCTAACTGTTTTATAAATCTCTTTTGTCAACCACATACGTACATTTATTAGAAAATAGTTTTAATGTAGATATGCCATGTACTTGGTCTTTACGTCATAATTGTTTGTGTCATGGGTCTTAATTATTAGTTTCTAGCTGGTTTTTTTATAGTAATAATCACTTCATTAAACCAACCATATAAATATGTCTGAGCTTCAAACAATTGGCATATGTTTATTTTGGTTGTAGTATAGTAATCGTAACAATAATTTTGTAATTTAATTCATTTGTAAAAAGGTAGAGTGCCAGCCTCGTACCCAGGCGCCTTTGGTTTGTTTACGTCATTAAGTACACATGGGATTGCACACAAGGGAGAAAAATCGAAAATTCGGCAGGAAGCGCCTGGTAGAATTTGCATTCAAAATGGCGAGTCAGTGTTCTGCAAGTGTTCTGTATTATTTATATATTATTGAAATGACATTGTTTACAGCAAAATACGGGTTCGTACATTACCAGTACTCTTTGGAGTGCAATATTTAACTTAAACTTTTAATAGTTTGCCTTGTTCATACTGTTTTAATATTAACTATACAGTCACTACAGCTAGTGTCATGATTTTGCTGTTTTTGTTCAATATCAGTTCTATATCACGCATTGTATTTATCGTATTAACCTCAAAATTTGTAGTTGAGATACAAAATTTGATTTTTTTTGTCAAGATTTGTATAATTTAGAGCCATATGGTTCGAATATTAGTAATATAGGTATATTTTGACCTTGGCTAGGCCAGGTGTTGTCATGCAGATATATTGCTTTTTATTACTTGCCAATTCATATTCTAGTTATATTTCTCGTCATTTTAATCATTCTCATCATGTTTTAAATCCAGTATATTAAACGTAAGTTACTGTACTAAACTCTACAGGATGAATATCTATTGTTTTGACTGTTTACAAATATGAACGGTTTGCCGCCGCCTATAGGCCGCCGCATTCTTTGAGAGTTTGAGCCTTTTGAGATCGGTATTCTGATGCCTTTCATGATTTCATCATATTGCAATGAAATTTCTGTGACATATTCAATCCATAAAGCGACTGAAACAACGAAGGCTACGTAGATTCACTCCAAAACGAATTTACACTAGGCTGTTTGATAATATAATTAATTAATTATATAG